AGAAACACAACAAGATGAATCGGACACTTCCCAGGTGTCTAGGACTGTGTGATGTATTGGCGAATAATAATAATAATAATAATAATAATAATAATAATAATAATAATAATTAGAAACACAACAAGATGAGTCCACAGCAGACACTCTGCTGGCTGTTGTATTGGATCACATGTCGGACACTTCCCAAGTGTGTAGGACTGTGTGATGTATCGGTAAATAACGTTTATTATTATTATTATTATTATTAGAAACACAACAAGATGAGTCCACAGCAGACACTCTTTCTGGTTGTTGTAGTGGATTACACATCGGACATTTCCCAAGTGTGTAGGACTGTGTGATGTATCGGCGAATAATGTGCGCAGATCCCAGTAAAGTGGCCTTCTGCAGCTGGCAGGTGGTAATTTTGTCAGCACCAATTGTGTTTAAGTGCAGGCCAAGGTCTTGAAGCACTGCACCTAGTGTGCCGATCACCACTGGGACCACCTTGACTGGCTTGTGCCAGTGTCTTTGCAGTTCGATTTTTAAATTATCATCATCATCATCATCATCATCATCATCATCATCATTATATTATTATTATTATTATTATTATTATTATTATTATTATTATTAGAAACACAACAAGATGAGTCCACAGCAGACACTCTTTCTGGTTGTTGTAGTGGATCTCACATCGGACACTTCCCAAGTGTGTAGGACTGTGTGATGTATCGGCGAATAATGTGCGCAGATCCCAGTAAAGTGGCCTTCTGCAGCTGGCAGGTGGTAATTTTGTCAGCACCAATTGTGTTTAAGTGCAGGCCAAGGTCTTGAAGCACTGCACCTAGTGTGCCGATCACCACTGGGACCACCTTGACTGACTTGTGCCAGAGTCTTTGCAGTTCGATTTTTAAATTATTGTTATCATCATCATCATCATCATCATCATCATCATCATCATCATCATTATATTATTATTATTATTATTATTATTATTATTATTATTATTATTAGAAACACAACTAGAATGAGTCCACAGCAGACACTCTGCTGGCTGTTGTAGTGGATCACACGTCAGATACTACCCAAGTGTCTAGGACTGTGTGATGTAATTATTATTATTATTATTATTATTATTATTATTATTAGAAACACAACAAGATGAGTCCGCAGCAGACACTCTGCTGGCTGCTGTATTGGATCACACGTTGGACACTTCCCAAGTGTCTAGGACTGTGTGATGTATCGGCAAATAATGTTTATTATTATTATTATTATTATTATTATTATTATTATTATTATTATTATTCGGAGCCCCCGGTGGCACAGTGGGTTAAACCCTTGTGCTGGCAGGACTGAAGACCGACAGGTCGCTGGTTCGAATCCGGGGAGAGGCGGATGAGCTCCCTCTATCAGCTCCAGCTCCTCATGTGGGGACATGAGAAAAGCCTCCCACAAAGATGATAAAAACATCAACATCATCTGGGCGTTCCCTGGGCAATGTCCTTGCAGACGGCCAATTTTCTCACACCAAAAGTGACTTGCAGTTTCTCAGGTTGCTCCTGACACAAAAATTATTATTATTATTATTATTATTATTATTATTATTATTATTAGCACTTTTACTTGAGTTCTGGGCATAGGACAAATAAAGATGTTTCTATTTTTCTGAACCTATGAAAAAGCACATTGATCCTTACAATCAACAACCAAAGAGCAGGGAAAACCACACGGTAAGGTTGTCCCCAGCAATGACAACGGTGCCGTCATTGTCACGGTCTTCACATACATGATGGAAAACCCAATCATGGCTGTCAAGTGAGATAAGGAGGAAGAGAACTAGATGGACAAGGCGGGGAACCTGAACGAATGCAGGGAGAGAACCCGTTTCCATTGCTATCATCATCCTGGCGTCGTCTGCAAGCCCTGTCCCTGGCTTTTCCGATTTTGGGGACCAGAAGCCGGACTCTGGGGATGGTTTGGGTTTCCAAAAGTCAGAAGCCATAGTTTTTGAGAAACACGCCCCGCTGGAATGAAAGCTTCGCGGTTGCTTTGTAGACATTGCAAAAAGGAGAGCATAAAGGGACAAATGGAACGGAAAGGAGATAGAAAATGGACTCCGTATAGATAGATATATATACCTCTCTGCCTGGATGACAGCGCAAGGACTGAACGGAGAGGGGGAAATGTGCAAAAGGCTTACCTCTCCTTCGTTGTCCCGGCTGTGCCGCGGTCCCCTCCCTCCCCAAGGCGGCTTAGCTGCCTGCCGGATCTCCTCCTCGCCGAAACCTTTGGCCGTGGTTAATGAGTGACGATGGGTGGGTGGGTGGACGGGCGGCTGGGGCAGAGGCGCCTGCGTCAATATTTCGCCTGGCGGGGCAAATCGGCCACGACGAAGCTCCTTCTGGCAGCGGCACAGGCGAGGGTGGAGCGCACACACAAACACCAAGCACTCTGGACACTACTGCCCCACGCAAGCCGCCAGCTACGGAATCCGAGAGCTGAAAGAAACCCTCAAGGGCTAACCAGTCCCAACCCTTTTCTGACTGGCAGGAGGACACCATCAAAGCTCTCCCAAAAGATGTCCATTCAACTCCAGAGAAGGAAATGATGATGACAATAACAATAATGATAGAATCCTAGAGTTGGAGGAGACCTCAAGGGCCATCCAGGCAAGGAGACATCATCAAAGTCCTCCCAACAGATGTCCATCCAACGACAATAACAATGATAGAATCCTAGAGTTGGAGTAGACCTCAAGGGCCATCCAGGCAAGGAGACACCATCAAAGCCCTCCCAACAGATGTCCATCCAACGACAATAACAATGATAGAATCCTAGAGTTGTTTAAAGACCTGCAGAGAAGAAAACAATGACAACACCAACACCACCACCCACAATAATTATAGAATCCTAGAGCTGAAAGAAACCCTCAAGGGCTATCTAGTCCCAACCCCCTTCTGACAGGCAAGGAGACATCATCAAAGCCCTCCCAACAGATGTCCATCCAACTCCATAAAGGAAATGATGATGATAATAACAATAATAGAATCCTAGACTTGGAGGAGACCTCAATGGCCAACCAGTCCAACCCCCTTCTGACAGGCAAGGAGACACCATCTAAGCCCTCCCAACAGATGTCCATCCAACTCCAGAGAAGGCGACTCTAAAAGCCTTCAGAGAAGGAAATGATGAAGACGATAACAATTATAATAGAATCCTAGAGTTGACCTCAAGGGCCATCCAGTCCAACCCCCTTCTGACAGGCAAGGAGACACCATCAAAGCCCTCCCAACAGATGTCCATCCAACTCCAGAGAAAGAAATTATGATGACAATAACAATTATAAAAGAATCCTAGACTTGGAAGAGACCTCAAGGGCCATTCAGTCCAACCCCCTTCTGCCAGGCAGGAAGGCACCATCAAAGCCCTCCCAGCAGATGGCCATTCTGCCTCTGTTTAAAGACCTGCAGAGAAGGAAACAATGACAACACCAACACCACCAACAACAATAATAGAATCCTCGAGTTGGAGGAGACCTCAAAGGTTGTCCAGTCCCTTTTGCCAGATAAGAAGACATCATCAAAGCTCTCCCAGCAGATGGCCATTCAGCCTGTGTTTAAAGACCTCCAGAGAAGGAAACAATAACACCACAACCACAAACAACAATAACAATAATAATAGAATCCTAGAGTTGGAGGAGACCTCAAGGGCCGCCCAGTCCAATCCCCTTCTGACAGGCCAGGAGACACCATCAAAGCCCTCCCAACAGATGGCCATCCAGTCTCTGTTTGAAAACCTCCAGAGATAGAAACTATGACAACACCACCACCACCACCAACAACAACAACAACAACAATAGAATCCTAGAATTGGAGGAGACCTCAAGGGCCATCCAGTACAACCCCCTTCTGACAGGCAGGGAGACACCATCTAAGCCCTCCCAACACATGTCCATCCAACTCCAGAGAAGGAAATGATGACAACAATAACAATTATAATAGAATCCTAGAGTTGGAGGAGACTTCAAGGGCCATCCAGTCTAACCCCCTTCTGCCAGTAGGAAGGCACCATCAAAGCCCTCCCAACAGATGTCCATCCAACTCCCGAGGAGGAAACTATGATGACAATAACAATTATAAAAGAATCCTATAGTTGGAGGAGACCTCAAGGGCCAACCAGTTCAACCCCCTTCTGACAGGCAGGGAGACACCAACAAAGCCCTCCTAACTGACATCCATCCAACTCTAAAAAACCCCAGAGGAGGAAATGATGACGACAATAACAATTATGATAGAATCCTAGAGCTGGAGGAGACCTCAAGGGCCATCTAGTCCAACCCCCCCCCCCCCCCCCCCCCCAGATTTGAATATTGGTGGAATTGGGTGGGGGGGGGATTGATTATGTCATTTGAGAGTTGTAGCTGCTGAGATTTATAGTTCACCTACAATAAAAGAGCATTCTGAACTCCACCAAGGAGGGAATTGAACCAAACTTGGCACACAGAACTGCCACGACCAACAGAAAATACTGGTGAGTATTGACCTTGAGTTTGGGAGTTGTAGTTCACCTGCATCCAGAGAGCTCCGTGGACTCAAACAATGATGGATTTGGACCAAACTTGGCACATATACCCAATATGCCCAAATGTGGACACTGGTGAAGTTTGGGGAAAACAGACCTTGGCATTTGGGAGTTGTAGTTGCTGGGATTTATAGTTCACCTTGGGCCAAACTTCTCACATAGAACATCCATGACTAAAAGAAAATACTGTTTTTTTCTGATGGTTTTTGGTGATCCCTCTGACATCCCCCTTGCGACACCCAGGTTGAGAAACGCTAACCTAGACTCTATCCTCCTATTGATTCAGTCTACAATCACATTGGCTTTTTCTGCTGCCGCATCACACGATTGATGTCTTAAATAGAGGAAATTATGCAGCCTACAAGCCAGATCCAAGATCAAACCACACGTCAACAAGTCAGTCTTGTGTCATGCTATATCAGAAAAGAACTCACTGCTTCTCGGAGATCCGCACAAGTGCTATACACAGCAATCTGCCTGAACGGCTCATTGGACTCGTTGAAGGAGATGGTCATGGCCACCAGCAGGTCGTAGCCTTTCTCTTGGCAGAAGCTGTGCAGTTCTTCTTCTAAACCAGGACGGTCCAGGAAAACCTGCATGGAGAAACCGGACATGAATAATTAACAGGAGCAACCCACACACATTCAGACAAAACGCATGTCCGATATAACCCCCGTATCTGTGAGAGACCAAGCTGAAATTAGGGGAAGATGAGAGACAGGCTGCTGGGGAGGCTGTGGGTGGGCTTTGGGGAGGATAGGGAGTTTTAAATGCAATTTTAATTGTATTTTAACTATTGTATCAACCCACAACAGCTTTTATTTTAAACTAGCTTGGGGACCCGGCGCTACCCGGGTTATTAGAGAAAGTGGGTAATGGAGGTTCTGTATGCCAAGTTTGGTCTTTATTGGTCATTGGATGAAGGTTTGCATTGTTTTCAGGAAGTGAGTGAAGGTAATGCAAGTCCCATCAACCATGGTCCACCCTCCTCCAAACTGCAGCAGGATATAGAGTGGGTCATGGGGGCACTGTGTGCCAAGTTTGGTCTTTATTGGTCATTGGATGAGGGTCGCAGTGGTTTCAATAACTGAGTGAAGGTACTGCAAGTCCCATCATCCATGGTCCACCCTCCTCCAAACTGCAGCAGGATATAGAGTGGGTCATGGGGGCACTGTGTGCCAAGTTTGGTCTTTATTGGTCATTGGATGAGGGTCGCAGTGATTTCAATAATTGAGTGAAGGTACTGCAAGTCCCATCATCCTCCAAACTGCAGCAGGATATAAAGTCGGTCATGGGGGCTCTGTGTGCCAAGTTTGGTCTTGATCAGTCATTGGATGAGGGTCGTAGTGCTTTCAGTAATTGAGTGAAGATACTGCAAGTCCCATCATCCATGGTCCACCCTCCTCCAAACTGCAGCAGGATATAGAGTGGGTCATGGGGGCTCTGTGTGCCAAGTTTGGTCTTGATCAGTCATTGGATGAGGGTCGCAGTGGTTTCAATAATTGAGTGAAGGTACTGCAAGTCCCATCATCCATGGTCCACCCTCCTCCAAACTGCAGCAGGTTGCAGAGTGGGTCATGGGGGCTCTTTGTGCCAATTTGGTCTTGATCAGTCATTGGATGAGGGTCGCAGTGATTTCAGTAAGTGAGTATTTTATTTTATTTTTTCTATGTGATTTTGATGTTTGTTGTTTATGCTTTGCTTTTATTTTGTCGTAATATATTGTCCGGGATTGGCCCCATGTAAGCCGCTCCGAGTCCCCACTGGAGAAATGGTGGCGGGGTATAAATAAAGATTATTATTATTATTATTATTATTATTATTATTATTATTATTATTCCGCCCTTCTCAGCTCAGGGCGGTTTACAAAACTGGCATTATTCGATGCCACAATAATGTAAACAGTTAAAAGCATATAAACATCCATAAAATTCCATAAACAATAAAATCAATAAAACATAAAAACATAAATCCTCCGTATCCAATTGCAATTGTCCAGCCGTTCCAAGGTCAAGTAATTATTTACATGTGATCCAATACAACAGCAAGCAAAGTGTCTGCTGAGGACTCATCTTGTTGTGTTTCAAATAATAACAATAACAATAACAATGACAATAATAATAATAATAATAATAATAATAATAATAATAATGGATATTAGGCGTCAAGGAGAGAAGGAGATTGTCTAGGCCTCATACGCACCGGCAAATTCACATAGATGGCGCTGATGGCTATAGAAGCTCGCTTCCCAGAAAGTGCCTTTAAGTCCTTCCGTAGCATCTGGTCCGTGGTGAGGCCTGTAAGGCAACAATGAGAGAGGTTTCCAAATATGAATAACCATTGGGGGCATTTACACTAGCTCTTTCCCGAGGCCTACCGCACACTGAGGCCTTTCTCCCACTGAGGCCTTCTCAAACTGAGGGCTCTCTCAGACTGATGCCTCTCTCACAATGAGGCAAACTAACACCAAGGCCTACCGCACACTGAGGCCTTCTCATACTGAGGGCTGCCAATACTGAGGGCTCTCTCCGACTGATGCCTCTCTCACGCTTAGGCAAAGTTACACGGAGGCCTTCCTATTCTAAGAGAGTGTATGGATTCTTTCCAAGACTGAAAAGGCAGCTTGACAAACCTATGGTTTGTTTTCACAATCATGGATAAGGACCAGCCACAAACCCACGGAAAGCACCAGTCTGAAGTGGGCTTTTGAAAAATCAGGGTGACATCTTTGTCGATCTGAACCATTGTAATTCCTAGACCACTCTGCACACAAAGTGAGAGGCAGTTTCCACAGAGAGGCAAACTAACACTGAGGCCTACCTCACACTGGGGTCTTGTCATACTGAGGGCTTCCAGCACTGAGGGCTCTCTCAGACTGATGCCTCTCTCACACTGAGGCCTACCTCACACTGAGGCCTTCTCAGACTGATGCCTCTCTCACAATAAGGCCTACCTCACACTGGGGCCTTGTCATACTGAGGGCTGCCAATACTGAGGACTCTCTCAGAATGATGCCTCTCACACTGAGGCCTACCTCACACTGAGGCCTTCTCAGACTGATGCCTCTCTCACAATGAGGCAAACACTGAGGCCTACCTCACACTGAGGCCTACATCACACTGGGGCCTTGTCATACCGAGGGCTGCCAACACTGAGGGCTCTCTCAGACTGATGCCTCTCTCAGACTGAGGCAAACTAACACTGAGGCCTACCTCACACTGAGGCCTTCTCAGACTGATGCCTCTCTCACAATGAGGCAAACATTGAGGCCTACCTCACACTGAGGCCTGCCAACACTGAGGGCTCCACAGAGAGGGCTTGGCTCTGACCTAAAAAATAAATTCACGGTGCTGTGAATTATAACCGCAGTTAAGAGCACAAACCATGGTTACCTCTCTCGTTGGATTGTGCGGTTTCTTTTCCTACTCACTCCCATCCTGTCACTCTTATATTGCCCTTCTTGTGACCTCCTTCGGTCCAGTTTTATGTCCCAGTCGAAAAACAGGAGAACTAACTGGGCACCAAACCCAGCTGATGTTGACAAAATAGCCCGGTGTACAGTCTGCATGCCGATTCTCTCTGTTTTGTTTTGCAACATTCACATTCCCAAATTCGCGATACAGAGGGCACCGTTACCTGAGACGTCAAACTTTGCCTTTTGCAGAGCCTCAAATATGGCATTCCTCGAAGGGAGGTCAGGGAACCGCGATTCCAAAAGGGAAGCGTAATGGTCATCCTTGGGGGTGACTTTTCCTGCTTCGGGGGCCATGTTGACACAGTCAAGGACTATCGTGGCTGTTGAGACAACAAAGAATAATCATAAGTGAAGACACATACAGTCAACGTACAGCCCTCCCTTTCTCCAGAGTCATTGCAAGCTGGCCCTCTTACCATGCAGAAGGGTGGCCGTTGGTCTGTCCAAAACCTGAGCCGGACCCTGAAGGATCCTCTCTGTCACAAGCGTGGCGCAGGAGCCCACCAACTCTGCCGTCACTTTGCAGGGAGGGCCACGCTCCCGTTCCAGGGGACGATGGTCCAATACCTCGACAACGGCTTCCTCCAGGGCAGCATCTCTGCTGCAGAACCAAAGAAAGGCTCACAAGGCGAAATCAAACACATTTACAGAAGTATTTTATTACTATTACTATTACTATTATTATTGACGTAAACACCATCATTTCTGTTGGGCAAAAAAACCCTACTCATATATGTAAAATAATATGACTGCACTATTTACAAGAACAAGGTTTCCACAACACAGATAAAGTTCTCACACTGAGGGCTCTCCCAAACCGACGCCTTTCTCACAGTGAGGCAAACTAACACTGAGGCCTTCTCACACTGAAGGCTCTCTCAGACCGACACCTTTCTCACACTTAGGCAAACTAACACTGAGGCCTTCTCACACTGAGGGCTCTCTCAGACTGACACCTTTTTCACATTGAGGCAAACTAACACTGAGGCCCTCTCACACTGAGGGCTCTCTCAGACCGACGCCTTTCTCACACTGAGGCAAACTAACACTGAGGCCTTCTCACACTGAAGGCTCTCTCAGACCGACGCCTTTCTCACACTGAGTCAAACTAACACTGAGGCCTTCTCACACTGAGGGCTCTCTCAGACTGACACCTTTTTCACATTGAGGCAAACTAACACTGAGGCCCTCTCACACTGAGGGCTCTCTCAGACTGACACCATTCTCACACTGAGGCAAACTAACACTGAGGCCTTCTCACACTGAGGGCTCTCTCAGACTGACGCCTTTCTCATACTGAGGCAAACTAACACTGAGGCCTTCTCACACTGAAGGCTCTCTCAGACCGACGCCTTTCTCACACTGAGGCAAACTAACACTGAGACCTTCTCATACTGAGGGCTCTCTCAGACTGATGCTTTTCTCACACTGAGGCAAACTAACACTGAGGCCTTCTCACACTGAGGGCTCTCTCAGACTGACACCTTTCTCACACTGAGGCAAACTAACCAATTTGTGTCATTTCCACAGGCAACCTACCTGGGCAGGACATGGTGGTCCACCAACGTCAGGGAAAGGAGGCCTTCTTTGTGGAGGGCCACCAAGTCAATCTCGTCTCGGAAGACGAGAAAATTCTCTGGGATGCCTTGCTCTCGGAGGAGGAAAGTGCTCTCCGTGCGCAGCGGGAAGTCCGAGCGGGGGATGTTGAGGACCGGGATGAAAGCCGCCTTTGACTCTGAGGATGTCTGCAAAGATGCCAGAAAAATGACTTGAGGTAGAAAAACAGAAAGGTGTCTCCACTGAAGCTTTCTTACCAATCTTTGTATTTGGCATTGAAAGTTAGTCCCGAGTCCCCTTGGGAAGATAGTTGGCGGGGGTATAAAAATAATAATAATAATTATTATTATTATTATTATTTTGTTGGAATCTGCCCTGAGAGAGGACGGTCTATAAATAATGTTGTTGTTGCTGCTGCTGCTGCTGTTGTTGTTATTGTTATTATGCTGTTGCTGTTATTGTTGTTGTTGTTATTATTTTGTTGGAATCTGGCTTGAGAGAGGGCGGTCTATAAATAATGTTGTTGTTGTTGCTGCTGCTGCTGCTGTTGTTATGATTATTATTATTTTGTTGGAATCTGCCCTGAGAGATGACGGTCTGTTATTGTTGTTATTATTATTATTATTATTATTATTATTATTATTATTATTATTATGTCGTTGTTGTTGTTATTTTGTTGGAATCTGCCCTGAGAGAGGACTGTCTATAAATAATGTTGCTGTTGCTGCTACTGCTGTTGTTATTATTATTATTATTATTATTATATATTGGAATCTGCCCTGAGAGAGGACGGTCTATTGTTGTTGTTGTTGTTGTTGTTATTTTGTTGGAATCTGCCCTGAGAGAATACGGTCTATAAATAATATTGTTGTTATTGTTGCTGTTATTATTATTATTATTATTATTATTATTATTATTATTATTTGATGGAATCTGCCCTGAGAGAGGACAGTCTATTGTTGTTGTTGTTATGTTGTTGTTGTTGTTGTTGTTGTTATTTTGGAATCTGCACTGAGAGAATACGGTCTATAAATAATGTTATTGCTATTATTATTATTATTATTATTATTATTATTATTATTTTGTTGGAATCTGCCCTGAGAGAGGACAGTCTATAAATAATAATGTTGTTGTTGTTGTTATTATTATTATGTTGTTGTTGTTGTTGTTATGCTGAGGAGAGTGCCTGACATTTGGCAGCCGAGAAGAAAAAGCTCACCTTTGCCAAGAAGAAGGCCAGGGCTAAGGCGGACACCATGGAGTCCAGGTCGCAAGCCTCGTTGCCCAGCACCACGTGGACTTCCTGGTTGTTCTGGACATATTCCTATCGAGTGAAGGAGACAAAAAGAAAGACAAAGAGGTGGAAACCTCAGCCTGGGACTCATATGGCACTGAAAACGGACTTCCATCCCTGCTGTAAAATATGCTTTATTGACGGTAAATTGATGCAAAGAGAGCCATTGTGGTTGTAGTAGTTTTGAGTATTGGAATATGACTTAGGCGATCCCTCATTGCCTGAGTAGGATAATCCTCCAGGGTGGGTCCGTAGGTGACTGTGGAGCCCTATTCTTGACCCGCAACTTCTCCCGCAGTGAGGGCATCGGTTTCCAGGTGGAAGGCGGTCCTGGTCGGGGTTGGCTTGACACACCTTCCTCTTGGCTCATTTCTCTCTTTCACCCTCCATTCGTGCCTCTTCAAATTCTGCAGCACTGCTGGTCACAGCTGACCTCCAGCTGGAGCGTTTACAGGCCAGGGCTTCCCAGTTCTCAGTGTCTATGCCAGAGATTTTAAGGTTGGCTTTAAAATCCGTTTTCCGTTCTTGAGTTCGGAGTAGAGCAACTTCTTTGGGAGATGGTGGTTGGGCATCCAGACAACGTGGCCGGTCCAGTGGAGTTGATGGCGGAGGACCATCGCTTTGATGCTAATGGTCTTTGTTTCTTCCAGCACGCTGACATTTGTCCCCTTGTCTTCCCAAGAGATTTGCAGGATTTTTCAGAGGCAGTGCTAATTGAATCATTCCAGGAGTTGCATGTGACGTCTGTAGACAGTCCACGTCTCACAGGCATATAGCAGGGTTGGGAGGTTTATAGCTTTATAAACAAGCACCTTGGTATCCCTACGGATGTCTGGGTCTTCAAACACTCTCTGCTTCATTTGGAAAAATGCTGCACTCACAGAGCTCAGGCAGTGTTGTATTTCAGTATCAATGTTGACATCTGTAGACAGTCCACATTTCACAGGCATATAGCAGGGTTGGGAGGACAATAGCTTTATAAACAAGCACCTTGATCTCCTTATGGATATCCCGGTCCTCACTCTCTGCTTCATTCGGAAAAAAGCTGCACTCGCAGAGCTCAGGCGGTGTTGTATTTCAGTATCAATGTTGACGTCTGTAGACAGTCCACGTTTTGTAGGCGTATAGCAGGGCTGGGAGGACAATATCTTTATAGACAAGCACCTTGGTATCCCTATGGATGTCCTGGTCCTCAAACACTGTCTGCTTCATTCGGAAAAAAGTTGCACTCGCAGAGCTCAGGCGGTGTTGCATTTCAGTATCAATGTTGACGTCTATAGACAGTCCACGATTCAGAGATATATAACAGGGTTGGGAGGACGATAGCTTTATAAACAAGCACCATGGTCTCCCTACGGATGTCCTGGTCCTCAAACACTCTGCTTCATTTGGAAAAATGCTGCACTCGCAGAGCTCAGGCGGTGTTATATTTCAGTATCAATGTTGAGGTCTGTAGACAGTTCATGATTCAGAGGTGTATAACAGGGTTGGGAGGACAATATCTTAATAGACAAGCACCTTGGTATCCCTACGGATGTCCCGGTCCTCAAACACTCTCTGCTTCATTCGGAAAAATGCTGTACTCGCAGAGCTCAGGCGGTGTTCAATTTCGGTGTCGATGTTGACTTTGGTGGAGAGGTGGCTGCCAAGGGAGCGGAAATGGGAGACATTTTCTAATGTTACACCGTTAAGCTGTATTTCTGGCATTGGAGAGGGATTGGCCGGTGAGTGCTGGAAGAACACTTTGGCTATTTTATTATGTGGATGGATAGATAGAGAGATAGAGAGATAAATAGATAGATTGTAGGGGAGACATTGTCAACAAGGAGGAAATGGTCTTGGCCAAGCTTTCTAAATTGACTTGGAAAGCATTTGCTCCCTGCGCCGCACACTCAACTGCAAATACGCCTGGTACTAAAAAGCAGCCCTGGTTTCCTGGCTGCTGCAAAATGCCAGGATTCATTTGTCAAAACATCAATAGATAAGCCAGCTGCAGATAAATTGTGTGTATGGACTGGGTTTATTAAAAAAAATAGAATCAGGAATGAAGCCGGCAATGGGCAAAGGTTGAGCGTACCACTCAGCAACAGATGGCCAAGACACCAAAGGAAAATTTAAATTAAGACCGCCGAGAGGCTAATTTTTCTCGGTTTAATCAAACAAGAAAGACAAGCAGCGAGCCATTTGTGCTAAAAGGCGCTCCGAGAAACGGCTGCCCTTTCGGCAAAGGAGCTGGCGTCAGCGCTAAAAGCAAGCCACTCAAAACATTAGCAAGAGTGGTATTCCGGTCCATTTCCGCGCTTTCCCACCTATCGCTCTCCCTTTGGGCTTCGGAAGGGATGGTTTCCATCAGGTTTCCAGCAAACATCTTTGGTTTATCAGTCTGTAAAACAGGCACACTAAAAAAGAGGGCGGACTCACGAGACAGGATTTTGATTTAGTTCGAAAGGAACACCCCTTGACCCAAAGCCACTTCAAAAATAAATGCCGAGTTCATTCGATAAAAACATTTATAAAAAAAATAAATGCCGAGTTCGTTCGATAAAAACAGCAAAGGTTTAAGGCAGTGGTTCTCAACCTTTCTAACACCGGGACCCCAAAATATGGTTCTTCATGTTGTGGTGACCCCCAACCATAAAATTATTTTCGTTGCTCCTTTATAACTGTAATTTAGCGACTGTTACAAATCGTAACGTAAATATCTGATATGAAGGATGTGTTTTCATTGTTACAAATTCAACATAATTAAAGCATCCTGGACTCATCGCTGAGCCTGGAACCCCAGGTCTCGGCGGTGGCCGGGAGAGCTTTTGCACAATTAAAACTTGTGCGCCAGTTGCACCCGTACCTTGGGAAGTCGGATCTGGCCACAGTGGTCCACACTCTTGTTACATCTTGAATAGACTACTGCAACGCACTCTACGTGGGGTTGCCCTTGAAGACTGTTTGGAAACTTCAATTAGTCCAATGGGCGGCACCCAGATTACTCACTGGGGCGTCATACAGGGAGCATACCACCCCCCTGCTATGTCAGCTCCACTGGCTGCCGATCCAGTTCCAAGGACAATTCAAAGTGCTGGTTCTGACCTACAAAACCCTATACGGCTCCAGCCCAGAGTACCTGTCCGAACGTATCTCCTTCTACGTCCCACCTTGGAGTTTAAGATCTTCTGGGGAGGCCCTGCTCTCGGCCCCACCTCTATCACAAGTGAGGTTGGTGGGGACGAGGAGCAGGGCCTTCTTGGTGGCGGCCTCTTGCCTGTGGAATTCGCTTCCCGGGGAAATTAGGTCATCAACACCCCTCCTCTCTTTTAGAAGGAAACTAAAAACATGGATATGGGACCACACTTGCCTTTGGGTAACCTGGCAGACAGACAAAGGACAATGACGACTAGAACTGGATAGGATTATGACAATGCGGAATGAACTTACGGATTTTGAGCTTGGCGAACGTTGATCACTAGATTAGTTTTTATTAGCTGTACTGTATAACTGGATTGTTTTATAATTGCTGCTGCTGCTATGTATTTATCTTACTATGTGTATTGCTGGCATCGAATTGTGCCTTTTGTAAGCCGCCCTGAGTCCCCCTTCGGGGGTTGAGAAGAGCGGTGTAGAAATACTCAAAATAAATAAATAAATAATCAGAAAAAATATGTTTGGGGGAGTATGGAAAAGAGATGATGGGATTTACAGTACCTTCAACCGATTCAGCGCCTACTTCCAGACCACTGAGACCTCCACACAGAACTCCCATGTCAAACAAAAAATACTGGAGGGGTTTGGAAGGAATTGACAGAGAGAGAGCAAGGCAGGATTTGCGCAAGCTAGGCCTCGTGCGGAGGACCACCTGCCTGCCTCACGTCCTTGCCGGGTGGCGAGAGAGCGAGCCAGGCGAGGCGGGCTTTGCACAAGGCCAGGCCTCATGCGGAGGACACCTCACCTGGCCCACGCCCGTGGGGCGGGGCCAACAGAGGCGGCCTCACGACCCCTCCGAAATGGGCAAGCGACCCCCCTGGGGGTTGCGACCCCCAGGATGAGAACCGCTGGTTTAAGGTTTAAACCAGGGGTCCTCAAACTACGGCCCGCAGGTCACTTCCGGCCCACCAAGGTCACTTATCTGGCCCGCGGAGGAGGAGCCCCCCCCCCCCGTGCCCTCTCAGGCCACCCTCTCAGTGCTCCTCCCTTGGCTGGCTCACGCTATGCGTCAGGCCCAATGGGTAGCGTGAGCCAGCCAAGGGTGGCTGCCCTGCGTGGCCTATCCTCGCGCAAAGCCCCATGCCTGGTGAGAGGCTTCTCGTGAGGACAGGCCGCGTGGTGTTGCTCCTCCCTTGGCTGGCTCACGCTATCCGTTGGGCCCGATGGGCAGTGTGAGCCAGGCAAGGGAGGCTGCCTTGCGCGAATCCCCTCACCACTTTTGCCGCTTGCCAGTCCCAACCAATGGTGCGAGCCATGCAAGGGGCTTCACGAAAGGCCAGGCCACACAATGCAGCTTTCGTTGCTTGCCAGCCTTCCCAACGGATCCAGGGATTATCTTCTATTTCAGGTAAACTATATATCCCAGTAACCAAATGCCAAGGTGTATTTTCCCCAAGCCTCTCCAGTATGTCCTGCTGGTCATGGGAGTTCTGTATGCCAAGTTTGGTTCAATTTCATTGCTGGAGTTAAGAATGCTCTTGGTTGACAGAGGAACTATTCATCCCAGCAACTCCCAAATGCCAAGGTCTATTTCCCCCAAACCTCTCCAATATTTTCTTTTTGTGATGGAGTTCGGCTGGTAGGCTGATCAGTAAACATATTTATGGGTTCCCTGCTATTATATTAAGACTGTTACCCATGCTATGACATGCTTGAAATCAAAATTTCATTTATTTGTAATTAGAAATAAATATTTCACAATGTATAATTACACATGGTTTTTGTGATTAATCACTATGCTTTATGTTAAGTTTCTATCAATAAAAATATATCCTGCAAATCAGATATTTACATTACGATTCATAACAGTAGCAAAATAAGAATAGGAATTT